GCCTTGACTGGTCTCGTGACCCCTAGTTCTACCCCACTTTGCCTATGGGGGTGTGTCAAGCATTATATGTGTTGTGTTAGTTTAGGCTACAGTGGGTTAGCCTATAGGGGGTACACAATTGTAGGGTTAGGTACTTGTACTCATTTCACTGCTAGTTCATTTCATTCCTGTTCAGTGATTCCAACACGGTCGTAAGTGCGGTCTTCAACTGCTCCATGGCTTGGTGATGCATACCCTCCCACTTGAACGGTGCATTCTTCTTCATTAGATTGGTGAGAGGTGTTGCAATCTTCACACACTATGGTACGAACCGATTGTAATAGTTCGCGCGGCTAAGAAATTGTTGAAGTATCTTCACGTTTTCCGGCGTCTTCCACGTACGTACGGCTTCGATCTTTTTTGGGTCAACATGATACTCCTTGAGCGCTCACCATGTGTCCAAGGAACTGAACTTTCTTCAAGGCAAACTCGCCCTTGGATAGCTTGACGTAGAACTTCTCCCGTCGAAGTATCTCGAAGACGCGTCGTAGGTGTTCGATGTGCTGCTTCATGTCCCTCGAGTAGATCAGGATGTCGTTCGGGTACACCACCACGCATTCGTTGAGTAGAGGCCTGAGAATGTGGTTCATTTCGGCCTGGAATGTAGCGGGTGCATTGGTGAGTCCGAACGGCATGACGAGGTACTCGTAGGATCCGTATCGTGTCCGAAACGCCGTCTTGTGGATGGAATAGTCCGCCATCTGAATCTGCCAGTATACTGATCTCAAATCAAGCTTGGAGAATATCGTAGCTCCTCGAAGCTGGTCAAGTAGATCTTCGGAAACGGATACTTGTTCTTGATCGTCTGCTTGTTGAGGGCATGGTAGTCGATGCACATGCGTGAACAGACGATGTGTGCACATGCTAGTCGGGGTTGAACTTCAACAGAAAATCTCTCCTTAGAGTCAAGTCTAGCCCTTTGATGTTGGTGACGGGTAGGGTTGGTTTCCAGCAAAGAGGACCCATCTGCAAATGTAACGCTGCTTCGCCGTAGACTTGTAACTTGCTTCCGTCAACCATCGTAGCTCTGAAGCTTGAAGGCGTGTACTCCTCATTGATGCGCTTAAGAGCTCCGTTGTTGCATAATGAATGGGATGCTCCGCTGTCCAAGGGTGCTTGGAGGTGTCGTCCATTGCACATCACCTCGAGCAAAAGTGGTTGGTGTTGATCGCTGTACCCGTTGATCCTCTCGCTGATTGGATCGTACGGCATATCTCATATCTTTATGTTATCTCTGTGAGAATTGAGGAATGAATGAACTAGCAAGGAGGTGGGTACAAGTAGGAAATCCTAGAAGTGTTGTACCCCATATTGTCTACCCCACTACAGCCAACACAGACTAAAGCATAGGATATAAGTTTGACACACCCCCATAGGCAAAGTGGGGGAGAACAAGAGGTCACAAGACCAGTCAAACAAAGCAAAGCAAGCTCAAGGTGGATCACAAAGTCACCACACACTCCGAGCACAAGAGCAAGGCCAAAAGGCCAGTTCACATGCAAGATCATATATAAAGGTAAACAAGCAAGTCCAAGTATAGAAAGATCACAGTACAAGCAAGGTCAAGAAGTGAGCAAGTGAGGCCAAGTAGGCATATGACCTAACATCGTACAGAAGCGCTAATGATCACAAGGCGGAAGTGCCTTGGTGAAGATATCAGCAGTGTTGGCCTCAGAGGCCACGTAAGCAAGGCACAGCTGACCACGCTGCTGCAACTCACGAGCAAGGAAGTAGCGAAGAGCAATGTGCTTCGTTCTGTGCTCCAGTCTGTGCTCCGATAAAAGGCCAGCATGGCCTTGTTGTCTACGTACAGAACTGGAGGAGAACGAGGCGGCTCTCCTAGGTCAGTCAACAGGTAGATGAGCCAGTGTAGCTCCTGTGCAACCATGCCCCCGCGTAGATCTCAGCCTCACAGCTGGAGCTGAGAACAGAAGACGAGCAGGTAGACCGCCACGAAACAGAGCCGGAGCCAAGGCTGAAGGTGTAACCCTGTGACGATCGCTGCAGAGCCTGGTCGTCAGCCCAAGAAGCGTCAGCGTGACCTGTGAGGACCACTCGACGTCGCCCTCCAAGCACTAGCCCCATGCCCGACGTACTGCACAAGTAGCGCAACACCCTCTTCGTTGCAGCCATGTGCTCTGGTCGATGTATCCGAGGAGCAACATAGCGTGCCAAGATGCTAAGAGGGTATGCAAGGTCAGGTCGAGTGCAGGTCATCAGGTACATGAGGCAGCCAACAAGATCTGGGTACAAGCCACTCGGCTCTACGGACTCATCCGAAGACAGATCTGAGAGCGAGTGGCAAGTAGATAGAGGAGTGGCTTGAGGCGAGGAGTACGTGAAGTTGAAGCGCTGAAGGACCTGCTACACCATGTGTGACTGAGTCACGGTAATAGTGCGCTGTGCTCTGTCCCGGGTGATCTGCAAGCCAAGGTAGCTACGCAGTTCACCCAGGTCTGTGCACGTGTGTCTCTTCTGCAGCTCGAACTTCACGTCCGCGAGTCCAGTAGTGTCAGCACTGGCAAAGACCAAGTCGTCGATGTACACGAGGATGTAGAACGGCGGCAAAGAGGTGTCGGTGCGCAAAAACAGCGACGGGTTGGCTGTAGAAGGAGCAAACCCAAGAGCCGCAAGTGTAGTCCTCAGTGTATCGATCCACTCACGGGGCGCCTGGCAGAGACCGTAGACTGGCCGCCGGAGGCTCCACTGGATGCCTGAAGGAAACGACCCATTGAAGCCAGGTGTGCGGCGCAGCCAAAGCTCCTCGTGCAAGCTGCCCTGTAGGAAAGCTGTACTGAAGTCAAGAGAGTGAAGCTCGTAGTCGCGCTGAGCGGCTATGTGCAGCAGCACCCCAAGAGTGGTCATCTTCGGGGTGGGAGAGAAGGTCTGAATGTAGTCAACTCCCTGCCGCTGATTGAAGCCTCGAGCCACGTAACGCGCCTTGAAGACAAGCGGAGAACCCGGCGGCCGCTTCACCCTGAAAATCCACATGCCACTGACGATGTTCGCCCCAGGTGGGGGAACCTCGTCGACGTAGGTGCCTGTGGACTTCCAGGAAGCCATCTCCGCATCCTTGGCTGACTGCCACTGAGAGGAGTAGGGACCCTCTATCGCCTCAGCATACGATCGAGGAGTCGGGATGTCTGGTGCATCCGGGTCTCCCTCAGGGGCAATCAGCGTGGACATGAGATGAGGCAAAGTAGCAGCAAAACACTAGAACTCCTCCTGCCTGTCCTCAAGGATGTCCGTGCTAAGAGCACACTCACCCCCGACACACGGAGGACATACAGACTCAAAATCAGCAACAAGGCTAGCGACGTAGTCTAGACGACAGCGAGCCGCAAAATCGACAAGCTCAGCAACCAAGGCAGACGCAGAAGTGGACTCAAAGGAAGGGTCAGTGACCACAGTGGCTAGGAGACGCGTGACAGTAGGAATGGCAGCACGAAGAGATTCAGACTCAGGGTCAGCAAGAACAAGAAGAGAGGACTCTAGAGGAGACGGCAACGGGACACGCAGAGGAGCAGTGGAAGGACGCAGTGCCATCTGGTGTGTGCCTGGGACCGCAGGAGGTTGCTGACGCGGAACACGACGACTAGTGCGAGCAGCACGAACAGGCGATGCAGGACGAGACGCAGGCTCATGACGCTCAGCAAGACCTCCAGTAGGACCAGTGTAGGGAGAAGGAGCAGGTACGGGGGAGGCGGGCGGTAACTGTGACTGCGACTAGACAGACTGTGGACACTCTAACGGAGGAGCAGGACCTGTAGAGGGTGGGAGACGAAGAACCTGCTCAAGGAGCGAACGAAGTATGGCTGCGGCCGGGCAGCGCCTCCTGAACCAGTAAGGACAGCACCAGTACCCCTAGCGGCAGCACCAGCGCCAGCAGCACCTCCTGCTCCAACAGCGCCAACTCCAGCACCCGCAGACGCACCAGCGCCAGCAGAAACACCAGCGCCAACACCTCCAGCAGCTCCAGCACCAGCAGCTCTAGCAGCACCAAATCCAGCAGGACCAGCGGCTCCAGTACTGCCTGCAGCTCCAGCAGGACCAACTCCAGCAGCCCCAGCAGCACCCCCAGCCCCAGCAGCTCCAGTACCGCAAGTATGAGCACCTCCAGGACCAGCAGCACGGCTCCAACGCCGGGCAAACCACTCGCGCAACTCCTGTGGAGAGAGTGGCTCCTGCCTCGACGAAGCACCGCCGGCGGCCACACGAGCAGACCCAGCGCCCCCAGGCTCCGCACCCCCAGGCTCTGCATCCCTAGACTCAGCACCCCCAGGCTCAGCACCCCCAGACTCAGCACCCCCAGGCTCAGCACCCCCCGACTCAGCACCTCCAGACCCAGCACCCGCAGGCTCAGCAGCCCTAACAGCACCAGACTCAACAGCTACCTCGACAGGCTCGACTGCATCTACCTGGGACACACCTGACGGGGCAGGACCCTGAGGGGGGAGGGGGTCTACCAGGGGAGGACCGGGTGCAAGGAAGAGCGGCGGCGGGGGGAGGGGCGCAGTGCGGTAGGGGAAGAGACGCTAGTAAGGCACCGACTCGTCAAAGGTGACGTCCTGGGAGGACAGAATACGGCGCGAGGTGGGGTGGTAAAACTGCCAACCAGGCGCGTCAGGGGGGAAGCCAAGGAAGACGCAGGGAACAGCACGGGGGGACAGCTTGTCCGCAGACAAGTCGCGGACAAACGCCCGAGATTCCCAGACCCGAAACGCAGACGCATCGCCAACCTTCCCCGTCCACCGCAAGGTGGGGAAGGTCTCTGCCAAGGAGACCCGGGGCTGAAGGTTGAGCTGATGCGCTACGTACTGAACCGCAAACGGCCACAGAAATTGGGGGGCAGCCGCATGTATCATGGACGTATGAGTGACGTCCATGACCATGCCAATGCGGCGCTCAGCAATCCCATTTTGCTGTGGAGAGGCCGGAAGCGTGAAGGTCTGGCGGATGCCCTATGCCTGACAGAAGGCTCCCAGACGGGCAGAGGACAACTCCCCGCCTCTGTCAGAGTGCAGACGCAGAACAGGAAAGTCCGAGCCGAAACTCTCCCTGAGCTGGAGATGAGCTGCGCGGATCGAGCCGATCAACATCTCAGTGACGTCACCCTTGCTGCGCAAGGGGAAGACTGTGGTGTAACGCGAGTAGTCGTCAACCACCAACAGGAAGTAACGCTCGTGCCCCTGTCCACTGACGCGGGCGGGGCCCCACACGTCCATGTGGAGAGTCTGCAGCGGATTCTGTGTCAGAGGAAACTCGGAGGAGTGAGGGGTGGCGCGCTGTCGCCCCTCGACGCAAGGGACGAAGGTAGGGCCAGGCCCCAAAGGTAGGGGAGGGAGTGACCGGGGGAGAAAAGATACAAGGACACGGAAGGCCATGCTTCGGAGACGAGGCAGGGAGGGGTGACCAAGATGGTGGTGCCGAAGGAGAGTCTGGTGAGACAGGAGACGACACGAGCAGGGAGCAGACTCAGGACCAGACCTGGACGCTGCAGCAAACACCTGACTCGACGCAGCTACCTGGCCAGACTCAGCAGCCGGAGGAGACTCACTAGTAAGGGTGTACAGGCCCGACCCTGGCCGACGGGTGGACGTGGCCAAGTGTCGGGCTGTCCGAGCACACGTGTAGTGGGTCACCCGCTGACTCGCAGGAGTGAACTGGTCAACCCCCCTATCCTTTAGGTCCGCTCCACTCACCAAGTTCGTAGAGAACGAGGGGAGGTAGAGACCTGACAGGGTGCCAGAGGGAGCTGCCGGGCACGGTAAGAAAGTGGAGAAGCTAGCTAGGACAGGACCCCTAGAGGGGTCCGCCTGGAAGACTGCAAACGGCCGACTAAGCGGCGTAAGCGTGGTGCGGTCTCGAAAGAAGGAGCGGGAAGCACCCGAGTCAAGGGTGAAGGTGTGGAAGGCCTGAGCTGACGTAGTACCTGAGAGAGCAGACTCACCAGCACCTGGGGCAGCAGACGCACTAGCACCTGGGGCAGCAGACGCACTAGCACCTAGAGCAGTAGCCTCACCAGCACCTAGAGCAGTAGCCTCAATGCCCGGGTCAGGCGGTACACACAGGTAACAGTCACCCTCAACACTAGTAGTCACAGCATACATGGCAGCAAGGATAGCATCATAGTCAAGATCAAAGATGGCAACCCCCGCCCTAGACAAATCTCCCCAGCAAGGGATCTCTGACGCCTCAGGGAACTGGTGGCGCCACGCATCCGTCAGGCGGCCGAAGCAGCGCTGGGTGGAGTGCGGGCCCCCACATTGCTCACCAGCGCGGTCGCCGGTACGGAGGACAAAGGTGCAGGGACCAGTACCCCCACCGCGCTGACGCGCAACGTACCACTCACGAAGCTGCTGAGGGGACAGGGTCTCACGACCGCGCTGCTGCTGCTGGCGCGGACCACCACCGGACCCACTCCTCTACGCAGAGTCGCGACCAGCACCACCACCACCGCCGCCAGCGCCTCTGCCACCTCCGCCGCCTCCGCCACCTCCGCCGCCTCCGCTCCCTCCGCCACCACCGCCGCCTCCGCCGCATCCACTGCTGCCACCACCGCCGCCACCCCCGCCACCACTCCCACCACCACCCCCACCCCCTCCACTGCCTCCACCAACACCTCCAACGCCCCCGCTAGCCCCTCCAGCTCCCTTGCCCCCCTTGCCTTTGCCAGAGCTGCGTCTCCCGCTAGGGGCAGACGCAGCGCCGACCCCGTAGAAACCAACGAGGTCGGCAGCAGCAGTAGAAGCAACAGAGGGCAAGAGGGGGGAGGGGGAACACCCCTCAAAGACGGGGGTGTGAGGGTCACCACGAAAGGCTCCTACAGCGACTATACTCTTCTCTGCTGCTAGGAGGCGCTCCTCGAGGAGGTCAATGGTGAGAGTGGAGGGGCAAACTGAGAGGAAGTGGTCCCTGACTAAGCGAAGAGAGTCACGGTGCCGGGTGACTATGTAGTAGAGGGTGATGTGTATGGGTGGAGGGTTCTTGGCGTAGAACTCAGTAGGAAGCGCAGCGCGGTAGCGAGTGTCACTAGTGCGGAGGTGCGTAATGAGGTCAGCGACTGTGGGAAAGGCAGCAAGGTCAGGGAAGAGGTACGGTAGCATGAGGCGGCTCAGTGTAGCAGTGGCAGAGGAAGAGTAGCGTGCAACTACAGCGTCGTACAAGGTCTGAGCACTCTTGTACTGGCTAAAGTGTGCACGCTCAGTGGTCGGTAAGTGGCGACGCACAGCAAAACGGGCAGCATCATCGCGTGTCGCCCACTGTGAGCGAATAGTGCTGTCAGCAGTAGCAGACGGGGCAGGGTAGGCACTAGAGGTGAGGTCGAACAGAGAGAGGCCGTCTGCCCTATCGCACTGCAGGAACAGCTGGAGGTCATCGACCCAGACCTCAAATTCAACAACACGGCCCTCAGTGTCAAAGATAAGAACATTGGGGGTAGCCATGACTGCAGAGGTCTAGCAAGGAGTGGGCTCACCAGAACGAGTAAGTAGTGCCGGGGTGCGTCGGTAGGACTAGTAGCGGCTCAGTGGCTCGGCGGTCGGGCAGCTCGGCGGTTCTGATGCTGGGCGGCTTGGAGGCTCGGCTGCTGGGCCGCTCGGCGGCTCGGCTGCCGGGCGGCTCGGCTGTCGGGCGGCTCGGCGGCTAGGCGGCTCGGCTGCTGGGCGGCTCGGCGGCTCTGCTGCTAGGCGGCTCGGCGGCTCTGCTGCTGGGCGGCTCGGTAGAGGCGGCGTCGAGGCCGCGTAGGAGGCGGCGTCGGGGCCGCTTAGGGGCGGCGACGGGGCCGCTTAGGAGCAGTAGCGCGGCCGCTGAGGGGCGGCGACGAGGCCGCAAGAGGGCGGCGACGGGGGCCGCTAGAGGGGGGCGACGCGGCCGCGAGAGGGCGGTGACGAGGGCGCGAGGGGCGGCTGCAGAGCCGCGATGGGCGACGACGGGGCTGCGAACGGCGGTGACGGGACTGCGAGAGGGAGGCGACGGGGCCTCGAGAGGGCGGGGACGGGGCCGCGATAGGGCGGCAACGGGGCCGCAATAGGGCGGTGACAGGGCCGCGATAGGGCGGTGACGGGGCCGCAAGAGGGCGGCGACGGGGCCGCGATAGGGCGGCGACGGGGCCGTGGAGGAGGGGCCGCTGAGGGCGGCGCGACGAGCCGCTACGAGGGCGGCGACGGGGTTGCGAGGGGCCGTGAGAGAGGGGGAGGGCCGCTAAGGGCGGCACGACGGGTCGCTAAGGGGAGGGCGGCACACAGGGCGCGCCTCTGTCAGGGGCGACTCGATCTCAGGGCAGGAAAAAAAAATCGATGTTCAGTGGTGGGCCCTAGGAAGTTCCCACTAGGGAACCTGCTCTATACCATGTGAGAATTGAGGAATGAATGAACTAGCAAGGAGGTGGGTACAAGTAGGAAATCCTAGAAGTGTTGTACCCCATATTGTCTACCTCACTACACCCTATACAGACTATAGCATAGGATATAAGTTTGAGAATCTCCTGGGGTGGCAGATGGCCAGTTCTGCCTTTCCTGTTTGCCACGATTTTTTGTTGTCGTCGACAACGTGGTTCTCGAGCTCGTGGTAGAATTTCTTCGTAGATTAGATGTCGCAGATTTTTCAGATGTTATCTGTAGATGAGGTTTGAGGTCGTCGCAGCTTCATGTTGACCTCCAGCTCCCTCTTGAGCTGCTCCAGCGCCACCGACTTCTTCCGTGGAAACCTGTTGGTCAACGTGAGCTGGTTGTTCTGAGAGAGGACGATGTCGTCATTGGAATGTCGATATTTCACGCTCCGTTGTTGGTTCCCCATGTGCAGCTGCTGTAGTTGTCGTAACGGTAAATTATTTTTCTTCTAGAGCCTCTCTCGTGATTCAACCAAGGCCGTAGACTCAGGGGAGTTTTTTCCAAGAAAAGCATCCTTTGTATGATAATTTCAAGGAGTGCTTACTTTTTATAGGGCCTTTTTGGAGTTGTTCGGGTCCAGCAGGGTCTTGTTTTGTGGATATTTTATCTTCCTCAGCCATATTCCATAGTAGAGTCCATTCGTGGGTTGAAGAATTCACTCCACGATCCTCCACTTTTTGCATTGAATCTGCTCCACTGCTGCGAACCTGAAGTGCTGCACGTGCGGTTTTCATTTTGTTACAATCGATGAGTTGATGTCCCGGCTTACCGCAGAAAGAACACTCAGATTTGTCCTTCTCTGGTCTTGCCTTCGTGTCGATTTGATCGAGTTCCATCGGGTCGGCGTACGTGGGGGTAGCTAAGCATCCTCAATGTCGTCTAGCTCGTCCATGAAGTCGTCGTATTCCGATCGTGGTTACGTCGAAACGTTCTGCTGCCAAAACGACGTCGTTGTAGCTGCTCCAATTTGCGGCCGCAATGTCTTGTCGTGTTTCGTTTTTCAGCCCCGCGATGAATGCTCTAACTTTTTCGCCTTCTGTGACGCCAGGGATGCAGTTGAACAACTCCTCCATTTGTTGCGTGTGGTTCGCGACGCTCCCGATTTGTCGATGATGATGCATTTTGTCGCGGAAGATTAACAATGCATTAATCGGCTCAAAACTTTGTAGTAATCCTTCTCGGAACTGCTGCCACGTTGCTTCACTTGGGTTTAATAAACCACTCCCGCTTATCCATTCAATTGCTGGTCCTTGCAGTAGTGTTGCTGCGAGATTAATTATGTTTCTGTCGAGTGCTGGTGCTGTCCATCCAATGGCGGCGTCGATTTCCCCATCAAAGGTGTTAAGGGCTCGAATTTCTTGGGCTTGGAGAAATTTTCACAACTGCTGCGAAGTCACGATCAATTCTGCTTCTGTCCCAATTTTTACCATGACGCGCACTGTGATCCGAGGTCGTTAGATCCGTCACGCATCGGTCTCGCTACTTCTGCACCGCTCAATATAAGTCCCGACGATTCGCGGTTGTCGACGCTATATCGCAACCTGTTCGCGGTTGAACTACGAACCTATTAAAAAAACGCGCGGGGGGGGAATTATTAAAAAAACGCGGAATTATGTGCTTACCAGCTTCGGCGTCGAATTCTTCGCCTCCGGCGGTTTTTCGAAACAATGAATCTGTTGTCGCGCTGCTTAGCTGAAACTCTGCGAATGAAAACGGCTCTGATTACCAAGTGTTACAGGATCTAATTTCCACTCGAGAATGTTGCACTAAAAGTGAGTACAAGGCGTATTTATACTCACAAATACTTAGACACATAGAACCCTAAACTCCGAGCCTTCGGGAACGTGCTCTTCTAGAATAGATCATCACAAGTGCGCATAAGCACGTAAGCCCATTGGCACATAGGATTATGGCAAGATTTCCCCTTGTACGCCACACTCGGTGCTCTCGATGCCGTATAATGTCAATGTCGATGCTGAAAATACCAAATAAGTGAAATAATAAAAAAGCTCTAAAAAATATAATAGTAGTCCGATTGAGGTGAAATAAAGTGCAAATGAAAGAGGAAAAAAAAGAAGAATACTACAGTGTAAAAATATAGAAATGAAAAATATGTCGAACATCGGCGTACTCTAACAATACCCCCTAGTGCAGCGAAATTAATCTCTCAAGAAATACTTCATCTCTTGATACTATTCAACTTGGAAAACGTAGCTAAGTTCTAGAGCTACAACATAGATGTGGCGGGCAGCAATGTGTCGCAGATGCAGTAGTGCACCAAGATCATCTCAGTGCTCGACAAGTTATGGGACAACCTCATCCCCACCCTCAACACTCAGCACGACCAGTGGACGCCAGAGTGGCTGCGGCAGCAGATTCTGTAGGAGGACTTCCGCAGACGCCACACAGGCGGTGGTAATGCCAACAAGACTGCTGAGGGGTACGGAGCTGCAGGAGGCAGCAAAGAATAAGGGGGTGGGAGAGGCCGAGGCCGTGGGAGGAGCTTTGGCAGAAAGAGAGGCCGAGGTGACGGGCCATGGGAGTTCTGGAGGTAGGGGGAGCACCCGAATGGAGGGTGCGTGTTGGTTTTGCAAGAAGGCTGGACACCCGTGGTTCAAGTGTTCCAAGCGGCCTGAAGGATGGGCGTTTCCAAGCATGAAGCGGCCAACTGGTGAACGTGCACGAGGTGGCGCTGTGCAAGGTTCAGGTGCACAAGGTAAAGCCGACCCTAGGATGTTCCTCATGATTGAGGATGTGAAAGGGAGTGAGGGTGATGTGGGCTCGGTTGGGAAGGTTGTGATGCACCCCTTCACTCACTGGGTGATCGATTCAGGTTCCACAAGTCACATGACACCGAGGGTAGATTTGCTTGATGAGATAAATGCGGAGATTCACTCTACAACGGTAGTGAGCTAGACTACGGGGGTTGGCATGAACTACTAGTAGGGATCGTAGCTTTGCTTAGTTCCTTAGTGCTTGCACATTCACGGGAGAAATTGGCAAGATTTTCCACTAGCACAGTCGAAATTACAGAATGATTGAACGAGCAATGACAACAATGACTACATCAGGCACATAGCAACTATGCAACTAGATTGGTCGACCGCGAGCACAGCTTGGTCGACCGCCTGTCAACCTTGCGTAGAGGAGCCACGCCAGCACTGCACAAAGATGACCTGCCAACAGAGCAGGTCCACGGCGTGCCAACGCTGCAGCTGAGTGGTTGTCCAGCGTTGCCTCGTAAAACACAGCAGTGCGCACGCTCGCAGGTGCGCACAGACGATTGGCCTGATTTGCCTCGTTGGGCGTCCGTCGGCTGTTGTCTGCGCCTGACAAGCCACATAGACTTCGGGAAACCAGCCCAAAGTCGCCTACACCATTGAGACCTTGACGACATTCGCGTGCCTCCGCAGAACTCGTCGAGCAGGTTACCCGGTCGACCTGGTCGACCCCCATGTTCTCTGGTCGACCCGCAGGTGCCTCCGGTCGACCACTGGGTCCCTCTGGTCGACTACTAGATGCCTTTGGTCGACCACAACTCCCGTCAAGCTACCCCCAGGTCGACGGACCCCTTCCGTCGAACAGAACCGTCAGTGGTTGTCGTCGAGCTCCCCTTGTCGACAGCTCCTCACTTGTCAGGTTGACAGACTGCTCCGTCGACCTCCTGGTCGAACTGCAGGTCAAAAGACTGCTCCCGGTCAAGCAGCAGGTCCACAGACTACTCCCGGTCGAGCTGCAGGTCGACAAACTGCTTCCGGTCGAGCTGCAGGTCGAATTTCCCCTCCTGGTCGACGGCCCACCCGTCTCCTAGTCAATTGCAGCTGTCGAGCTCTCTAGTTGACAGCAACACCACAGAGGTCCCCTGCAGCTCGACAAAGCTTGTCGAGCGGCTCTCCCACTGTGAACGGTCGGCTGCTACTTTCGTACATTTTACCAAGTTGTTGGCGTTGCCCAAGCGAGGGCGGGGCCAACACCCCATTCTTGTTAACAGTAAAGCCCCTTGGGAAGATCACGTTTGTGGCTACCGCTTCAGGTGCTTTGCTCCCTGTGATTGG